CGGGCCCGGTCGCGCGGCGCGGGGGGGGACGCGCCGCCACCGCCGCAGGATGAGCGGCGCTGCCGGCGCGGGACCCGGGGGTGAGTGCCGAGCGCTGCCCGGGGACGTGCGGGCTCCCCCCGCCGCCCCGCTCAGCCCCTCCCAGCCGCGGGGAAGGCGGGGACTCCGGTACCGGGAGGGCGGCCTTGGCGAGGGGCGGCGGTCTCGGCGCTGGGCGCAGGGCTGTACCCGCGGGGCGGGCGACAAAGAACTGGGAGGCGGCGGAGCGGGGGTCGAGGAGGACCGGGATCCCGCGGCTGGAGCCGGTCCCGGGGCGGCGGAGTGACCCCAGCGCAGCTGCTGGAAGAGGGGAGGGCGGTGGCTGCCAGGCGTCAGAGGGGAGCAGCGCCGGGCGGGCCGGGGTGCTCCCTGCCTGCCCAGGGCTCCGCTGCCAGGGCGAGGGATTCGCGGTGAAGTTACTACAAGGAATGACTCAGCCTGGCAGCGCCTCCGTGCTCGCCGTCGGCGGCGGTCGGGCGAGCACCGTGCAGAAGCGTTGTGTGTTTACAAACGTTGTTCTGCCTCTCCCTCCGTTGTTTACTTGGTCCTGCTCCCGAGGAAGCATGTGTCCTGTAATGAATTTTCCCTTTGGTTTTTTCTTACGGCTCTTTAGTAGGCTTTCAGGATGTTCTTTGGATCAGTGCTCGCTTTTCTTTCTCACTGACTCCCAAAAGTACTGGCTGACAGTGATCCAGAGGTAGAAATACTAATATAAATGCTGTGAGAATTAAATGAGCCGACCTTTGTAATGCTCGTGTTTCTTACTTAGCATCATCTAGACATGAAATAAAAAATCTTGTCTGATCCCAAGAAACACAGAAATGTTAGTTTAGACCTCATATAACCATAGCTTTTTTTTCCTCTTGTGTAATTTCTTTTTTGTCTGAAGTATGTTCTGGCTATGAGCCATTTCTTGTGGTTCATATTTTAAGCTTTCACCTTTACTTCTTTGTGAGGAGCTTGAGGTTTGGTTCTTTTTCCTTGTATTCACATATATGTGTGTCAGAAGTAGTTTGTGCTGTTGGGTTTATGGAAGGACTTGCGCTTCTGGAGGTGTGGGTTTAACTGCATGGTAAAAGGTATCTCAGCAATACTGGGGAAATGACAAGAATGGAAAAACATGTTTCAGACAGTTGAATTTTATACAGCTGAGAAGTGCTGTGAGGAATAACACTATAAATAGAATCAGAATTATAGAATGGCCTGAATTGGAAGGCACCTTAAAGATCATTTAGTTCCAACCTCTCTGCCATGGGAGCAGGGACACCCTCTGCTAGACCTGGTTGCTCAAAACCCCATCCAACCTGTCCCTGAAGACTTTCAGGCATGGGACATCCACAGCTTCTCTGTTGTAGTGTCTCACCATCTTCACAGTAAGGAATTTCTTCCTTATATCCAATCTAAAATTATACTCCTTCAGTTTAAAGCTATTGCTCATTGTCTTCTCCCATACATACCCTTCTAAAAAGTTCATCTCCATACATCATGGAAGTACTACATAATAATAGTGATAATGAAAATGTGCACTGGTATATGGTATATTTAAATTGTGAATTTCAAGAATATTTAAAATGTAGTACCTTGGAAAATTTTTAAAAGATGAAGCACATAAAGATACCTTACTCTTATCTTGTGGTCTAAGACAAACTTTTGTGCCAAGAAGCAAATATTAACAAAAAAGGATTTAGATATTCTAGCATCGTTAAGTTTAGATTATGTAGAGGATATATTTGTACTTACTCTAAATGCTGCCTGAAACTTAAAATGGCTTTATTTTATTATGTTGAGAGTAGTAAAGAAAATTACTTGCTGAAAAACACATAGTAAGGGACTTCAGCTATGCCAGTTTTAGAGCTGGAAATGCAAACGGGATCTGTTGGGATAGTGGATTATTATAAGATAGACCTAATTGTGCTTTGGAAGTCCATTATTGTTGTCCACTCTGTACAAGTAGCTCTGTATTTTGTGGATTGTAAAATCTATCTTAGCAGCAATTGTGTTGCTCTAGGTTTATGCTCAGCACAGATTTGGGTTAGTAGTTTCTGAGATCGTGTCCAAGGGGCTGGCTCTCTCCCCATGTCAGGTTACTATATTTATAATTAGAAGTGTATGCAGCAGACTTATGCTCTGCCTGGAGAAGAGGGCAAGGGTTATTTTGAGGTCTTTTGTGGTGTCTGTTTAAAAAACGGAGTGTCCCTGCAAGTTGTGTGAACACAGCTGTTACATGGCCTTGCAGAAACTAAGGTGGAAAACAATTTCTAAACTGAACTTCAGTTATTTTGGTTAAATAGGGTGTATGTTGGGGATAAGGGAGTAGCACAAGTTGATTTGTTTTTGATAAGAGTGGCAGTTACTGTGGAATCACTGGAAAGAATTTTTTTGTATGTTATCAGTGTGTCCTTAAGTCTTTATTTGCTTTTAAACTAGCAGTTACTTTCTGTGACAGAGTGGTGAGAGGGTCTTGGGACTTAAATTGCACAGGATGGGTTCATTATCATGTTGAGGTAAAGTGGAAACAAGTTAAAGTGAAAAACTATAGTGTGTGTACCCAGTTATTACTCTACAGAGCTACTTCAGTCATTTGGATAGTGCCCAAGCAGTCATGTGTCTCTTTCTGCATTTGCAATGTTGCTCAAGAAAGTTGTGCTCCTGATTTTTGGTCCACAGCTCAATGACATTATATGAACGGTTTCTGAAGATGATGAGGGGAAAAAACAAATAATACCTTACTACTTTCAAGGAGCCTATTAATAGGTAGCATTCTGGTGCAAAGTTGTTAATCAGTATTACTGAGTAGCAAACACTTGATTACAAGATGCCAGCTTACATAATAATATTGTATTATACTGCAGGATGTGATTGAATGCAGTGATACCAAACAGGCCAAAAAAAATCATTAATATGTAAATTACTAATCCAATTGCAAGAATTACAGTGTCTGTTTTCTAGCTGATGTGCCAGACTAATGTTTTTGTTTTACAAGTTGAACGATCTTCACATGAATTGCGAGTCGTAAAAGCCTATAGCACAATTAGTGGTGATAAAGAAATTGCTAGCAATTATTTTTGTGAGCTAATTAACATTCTGTTGTTACTGAGACAGTCACTTGTCTATTTATGAGTTAAGTCATAGTGCAGATCCACTCTTTATTTAGTTTTAATTTAAATTTTAGTTTTTTGATGTAGTTCAGTTGAAAGGCAAGTTGGAAGACATCATAGCCATGTACCAGCTCTTTCTATTTCTTCTATTTGTGAGCAGGGTTGGAAGTGGATATGCTTTGTGTTTTCTAATAGGATTCAAGCATAACTATATTGTTAATAATACATGAATAATTTTTCAATACTAGTTATTGGAAGTTGTCAATAGAAGTGTCTAAACAAATTTATTGATACCACATTTATGTCCACAGATTGAGACACGGCTGGTCAGGAAAACACCAGGGCTGTCAGGGCAGTTCTTGCTAGTCTTCTGTCCCTCTCCAGGTGTGTATTTTCCTTTTGTTGTTCAGGTTTGCGGTCCATGGTTCAGAAGGCTTCTGAGCTCAAGCAACAGCTCAGTGTAGCTTTTTATGGCCATCCAAGATGTTGACAGTTTCTGTTGGAAAGAGATTTTGCAGCTGGGCCTGCTGTCTTTATCGTATCAAGGTGAAACGATTACGGTGTGCTATATATAAAGCTCTAGTAGTTTGTGCATCTAGTAGAATGTGTTGGACTGTTTTCTATGAGTTAGTACAAATAAGTACAAAAAAGGTTTGTTTGAGTGCTGTATGAATTTCTTTCTGACCTGTGTTAATTACTTGTTAATGGAAAGTAAAATGTGAAACTGCTTTGTTTACTAGTTGGGTTCCAACTGTCCTGCATCTGTCTTGCTGTGTAATGATGTAGGATCAATGAGAAGAATGGTGTGTGAATATTTGAGAGCAGCTCTGCCTAAGTCATGTTCTGAGGGGTTTTTGACCGACTTCAGAACATGGATGTATTTTCTCTTTATGAAATAACTCATGTTTTCTTACCTCTTGAGACTTTCTTTTGAAACAGAAGTTTTGCTTTTTCAGGAGAATAGGAAAGCTGTGGTGGTGATAGTGAAATAGTGTATTCAGTATTTTGATTGCCTGTTGCTTTCATTTGGAGGGATTAGGTGGAATTAGTGTCTGTATGATACATCAATCATCATTATTTTTCTTGAAGATGTTTGACAGGCTAGTATGCTGTTTTCATTTTGAACAGATTGAAAATGATATGTATTTTAGAGGTAGAATGCAGTGTTGAAGAACCAGTTATAGGGAGAGTTTTACTGACATTGTGGATTCAAAAAATCATATCATCCTTAGCAAAGCAAAAATATAAATTCTGTAAGAATTGCACTTTGCTGAGGTCTGATTTTCGAATGTTTGAGCTAGCTGTTCTTAAGTTTCCAACTTCTATTTTGATTTAGTTCCATGACTGAACATGTTATGCTCTTTTGTGTTGTAGTTATAGCTGCAGTACTTTTTGCTCTTTATCACTTGAGTAGTGTTTTTTTTCCTGATATTGCAGGGACTTTCAATATCAGTGGTTTATATCAAACTTTGTTGAGGCCAAGTAGCTGTGCTGGTACCTCAAAAGTGTGAAAATTGGACCCTTATTTATTGTAGTTGGCTTAGGATAAACAGTTCATACTGACAAAATGGTGCTTTTGTTTATCCAGTTATTCTTCCACCCTCCAGAGTGTGTATTTTTATTAAATTCAGATGAAGGGAAGATTCTTACATAAGAATATATTGTGTAACAGGACTAGAAGCTGTCTTCTAATACGTTGTGCTTATGCTATATTGTAAGCGTTCTACTAGTAAATTCAAGCTGACTTCTCTCTTTAAAAATATTCTTCACAAGTACTTGTGTTGTCTACTGATTGAAAGAAACTTGATTCTCACCCAGTGAATGGATTGAAAATATGACTCAAAATTCTCCATTCTTTCTGAATGGGGGGGGGAGGGGTAGTGTGTAAACTTTCCTTTTTGAATGAGAGGCTTGATGGTAAAATACCTATACATTTCAAAAAG